TAACTAAACTTTATACTTAAACCAGTAAATACAATCAAAGAAACGACATATTTTACACGGGTTTCTTGATTTTCTTCCGATGAGGATACTGTTGGTCTGAATTAATGCTTGAATTAACTCGTAGGTCTCTCATATGTATGGAGGAGAATGAGTTTGGGGCCATACCAGAGAATATTCCCCACGATGTGACCAAAATCCGAATCGAAAAATCCCGCTTCACTGAAATCAAGCGCGGGGCTTTCTCCAGAACACCCGGCTTGGAGAACCTGTGGTTAAACTTCAACGATATTACCCTGATCAACTCCAAGGCTCTCGAAGGTTTGAGCAACCTGACCGAGCTCCGCCTGCAAGGAAACAAGCTGCGTTCCGTGCCATGGACGGCGTTCGAGGACACCCCGGGCCTAACGATCCTGGACCTGAAGCACAACCAGCTGGATGTGTTGCCGGAGCATGCGTTAAAAAATTTGCCCGATCTGACTTACTTAGACCTATCCTTCAATCGTCTTACAGTCATATCCAAGGAAGTCTTCCAAAACTGGCCTCTGTACCAAAAACTGCAGAGCGCGGAGGAGCAGGAGGCGAGCTCTTCGGGGCCGAACATCATCCTGGCGCTCCACGACAACGCCTGGCTCTGCGACTGCCGCCTCAAGGGCTTCGTGGAGTTCATCCGCTCCCTCAGCCCCCCAATTATTCTGATGAACTCCTACTTGACCTGCTCCGGGCCGGACTTTAGGGTGGGCAAGTTCTTCCACGAGGTCGAGCTGCAGGCCTGCGTAAAGCCCGTGGTTACCACCCCGTCGGCCACCCTGAGCCTACCGCTGGCCGCCAACGTCACGCTGCGCTGCCTCGCCAAGGCCCGACCGGACCCCGCGGTGTGGTGGACATATGGTCTGAAGATAATCAGAGGATTTCATGGTAAGATCCACAGTGTGACGTTCAGGGAGGGGGATCGCCTGATATCTTGTGTTAAATTAGATACTTATGCGCTCATTTTAATCACAGACTTCTATAAAGCTTCCCTTAAGAGGACTCAATCTGGATGATGTGTCGAGCCGAGCGCCATCGGTGTTTGCAGATTACCGTGCGCCGTGTAGGCTTGGGTGGACGGTGTCAGCAGCCATGTTGAGACTACACGAGTAAACCTGCTTGCGCTTAAACCTCTTGCAGGGGGATCGCTTTAATTCAACCTGACCAGAATAGGGGTCCCCTTGCCATGGAGTACACTAAGTTGGATGTATAGTCTTGGAAGTAAAGTGGTACCTCTACTTATGATCGTTTCTTCATATGAAATTTTCACGTTACCAAACGTCTCAACAGGAAAATATTGCCTCGTGTTACGAAATAAATTTCAAGACACGAAAGGTAATAATACAGCATGGGCTGCTTGTCGCAGCTCCGACTTTCCTGAACGCAAC